CGTGGATGGACCGCCCTGCTTTATTAGATGCTAGTTTAGATTATCAAATAGAAAACTCCTTAGTGGCATTTTGTTCGAATGTCAGTCTATTTGATGACTTGATGAAGTACTACTAAGAACTAGGGATGGGTTGATACTAAAATTTTTGTATCTAGATACAAGTGATACGGGTACTTTTTTGTATCTGATACTTTTATCTGATACTTTTGTATCTGATACAAATGGGTCAGTAGTTGGTCATGACCTTCCTACTACTTTGTATCTGATACTAGTATCAGATATTTTTATCTGATACTGGCATCAGATACTTTTATCTGATATTTGTATCAGATATTTTTATCTGATATTTGTATCGGATATTTTTATCTGATATTTGTATCAGATATTTTTATCTGATACCCGCATCGGATACTTTTATCTGATATTTTTATCTGATACCTGGACTAGATACCCAGCGGTATGCATACTGGCGCTTGGTATCTAGTCTAGTCTTGGGCTTATTAGTTAATATATAATAGTTCTAATGACTTTATAGTTATGTCAGATACTATGAAGATATTCACACAGTTTTTTAAACAAAATGTGATTCATATTAGACAAAAGAATGGAATATATTAAATAAAATATAACAAATTCATGCAAAGAAAAAATTTTCCTAATACAACGTTCTTAAGAATTTTGTAAAAATTCTTAATAGCTACGTTTAACATACTCACACACACATATATATTTTTTATTTTCACTGATCAATCTACATCTTGGGATTTAGATTATATAGGACTTGTATAATGTTTACAATACTATTATTGTATTCTTTGAACATATTAAATTACTTATGTAAATCATTTAAAGTAAATATTAATCCACTCTTTTATTATTTTTTTTTCATTAATACAATGGTATGACAACAAAAGTAATTTGTCGTTCATTTCAAATTTCAGTTAAAATTCCATAGTTTATTGTTTTTAGTAACTATCTTGCTGTATTGGGACCTTATTGCTCATATTATGTCTTTAATATATCAGTATAGTTATGTAAATCCTTCTGTTATTACTTATTTTTTATTTTTTTTTTATTGTAATATGCATTTTGGCAAGTTGTTATGTTAATTTTTATGTACAATATTGTTATTCTCAAGGGACTTTGTCCCAGAATAAAGGTGATTATTCTATTCTATTCTATTCTATATATATATTTATTTTTTCTGTTTGTATTACAGACCATGTAGATCTTTTGCCACCTTAACAAGTATGCTCAATCTCTGCCTGTCTTGGGCTATTTTTTGCCATTTATCTGCACGCAGCTCTATTGTATCTTTGTTGATTCTATCTATCCATTTGCTTTTTGGCCTCCGACGTGGTCTTTTGCCTACTATAATAAAAAATAGCCCAAGACAGGTAGAGATTGAGCATACTTGTTAAGGTGGCAAAAGATCTACATGGTCTGTAATGCAAACAGAAAAAATAAATATATATATAGATAGAATAGAATAGAATAGAAGAATCAACTTTATTCTGGGACAAAGTCCCTTGAGAATAAAAATATTGTACATAAAAATTAACATAACAACTTGCCAAAATGCATATTACAATAAAAAAAAACACAAAAAAACTTAAAAATAAGTAATAACAGAAGGATTTACATAACTATACTGATATATTAAAGACATAATATGAGCAATAAGGTCCCAATACAGCAAGATAGTTACTAAAAACAATAAACTATGGAATTTTAACTGAAATTTGAAATGAACGACAAATTACTTTTGTTGTCATAACATTGTATCAATGAAAAAAATAATATTAAAAGAGTGGATAAATATTTACTTTAAATGACTTACATATGTAATTTAATATGTTCAAAGAATACAATAATAGTATTGTAAGCATTATACAAGTCCTATATAATGTAAATCCCAAGATGTTAGATCGGTGTTAGATTGATCAGTGAAAATAAAAGAAATATATGTGTGTGTGAGTATGTTAAACTTAGCTATCGTATAGTGAATATCTTCATAGTACCTGACATAACTATAAAGTCATTAGAACTAATATATTTAAAAATGGTGTAAAATATTTATTACAGGGACAAATTTAATAATAAAGGAATAAAATATATATAGGTACATATTTAATATATGTTTTATTAGGTATCAAATAGGTATTAAAATATCAAACCCGATCAATAATCAATTACAGTTGGATTAAAATATCTGATACAATTATTGAGATATCAAGCCCAAGTGCCAGTATGCATACCGCTGGGTATCTAGTCCAGGTATCAGATAAAAATATCAGATAAAAGTATCCGATGCGAGTATCAGATAAAAATATCGGATACAAATATCAGATAATGGAAAGAAATAGCCCAAGAGAGGTAGAGATTGAGCATACTTGTTAAGGTGGCAAAAGATCTACATGGTCTGTAATACAAACAGAAAAAAATATATATATATAAATATATATGTGTGTGTGTATGTTAAACTTAACTATAAAGAATTTTTTTAATTGTTACAAAATTCTTAAGAACGTTGTATTAGGAAAATATTTCCTCTGCATGAATTTGTTATATTTTTATTTAATGTATTCCATTCTTTTGTCAAATATGAAGCATATTTTGTTTAAAAAATTGTGTAAATATTTTCTTAGTACCTGACATAACTATACAGTCATTAGAACTATTATATATTAACTAATAAGCCCAAGCGCCAGTATGTATACCGCTAGGTATCTAGTCCAGATATCAGATAAAAGTATCCGATGCAGGTATCAGATAAAAATATCTGATACAAATATCAGATAAAAATATCCGATACAAATATCAGATAAAAATATCTGATACAAATATCAGATAAAAGTATCTGATACTAGTATCAGATAAAAATATCCGATAGCAGTATCAGATAAAAATATCTGAAATTAACATTACATAAAAAAAAAAAAATAAGCGTGAATATATTTATCTACAAATAAATATTTAATTAAATTAAACTAAATGAATAGATAGTTCTAAAAAAATTGTGCACAACTAAAATTATAACTAAACATTTCTCTTATATCAATGTGGCATGTCTGGACAACCATTTTGTATCCATGTGAGCATCAGATACTTTTGTATCAGATACTTTTTGGTTGTATCTACTGGTTGTATCAGATACTTTTTTAGTATCAGATAAAAGTATCTGATACATACAATCCGACCCATCCCTACTAAGAACTAACTTTAAAAACGAAAGTATCTTCAAATGAGCCTTGCACAGAAAAGTATGGACGGATACTATAAAAAATATAGGTTAAAGACATGCATTACCTTTTTGGTACAATCCTAAATAAAAAAATAATGGAACAATATATATTTTTTTTCTGTGGCACATCAAATAATAAAACCTGTAGTTGTGTAGTTTACTTTCTTTCATTTGTTATGTTTCAGCTAGTTACTTCAGTTTGCGGAAGAACCCACTACTTGGTCGCTCGAATAAAATACTGTGCCATTGCAAACATTAAGTATCAAAAATTATCATTTCTTCTTCATTCAAACATTTATCTTAAATAGCTTTTAAATTAAATTGACCAAAAATCACAAATAGTCAATAGAATCTTAAAGAAAAAAGTCTAAACTAACTCTTGGAATCATGTTTAAACTTCTAGGTATTGTGAACAACGAAAATATAATTAGTTCTGACCAACATCCGAATGTAAAAAAGCCTTCTTGTACAGTTGGAAACATGGAAGATAAATTTTGTTGGAATGTTTATAATCTATTTGTTGACTGAATGAAGCACCATAAAGAACCAACTTTAAAAATGAAGGTATCTCTCTTTAAAAATGAATTTTATTGAAAAATGCAGGTTAATTTAATAAAAAAACTATTATTGTCGTAATTTGAATTTTTTTTTTCAAAAACTAAATAAAAAAATATCCTTCCAATCGAAAAATAAAAACCTATAATGTAACGAGAAGTTTCACCCCGAAGATGCAAGAGCATCTAACACCCTGGTTGCAAGATGCCCTTGTCTCTTGAGAACCAACCAGCTGCAGATTTCAGCGTGCATCTTAGTTGTGTTAGTCTTACATACTCGCCCCTTCCACCTCGTTCCGCCCTTCTTCTCTTCTGAGTCAACCGACTCTCACGCTTGGCTCGTCTAGTTTCTTTTCAGACATCAATTAGACGTGGTATTCAAAGTAAGGTTCCATGAGATTCAACAACTTTTTTAAATTCGAAATCTCCATTTTATAATACGCATGAAACTTTATTGGGCGGTTCAGTAATTGCTGAGACACAATAACAGGGCTATGATCTGCAGCATATTCTCATTCTGCCATAAACGATTCCTTCTTTGTCTTTGTCTTCTTCTGAATGTACAAGCTAGAATTATAATTTTGTCATCTCAAGAGTAGGATGATTGATTATTCATATTTCGAACTCACCTACTATACTAAACAGAGATAATGAATATAAATAGAAGGTGCCGGTGGCACGTGTATCTTTGGTATGAAAGCCCTTTCATCAAGATGTGAGACGCACATGTATTCTCCATCCAGGATGAATCCGTCTTGTGTCTTGTCTCTTCGGTGTAAATGACCCCAAAGTTGTTCCTAGAAGAACCCTGTCCCAAGAAGTGCATCATTTCTTCTAATGAACAGGAGCACTATTAGGTGTGTGGCTGTATACAGGGCACTGTCTATTCAATAAACTCTTTAATTTGGGCCTAATTGAGACTCCCATCTGCAGCCTCTAAGGCAAGTAGGATGAGACTGCTTATCCCACTATATGTAGCGGTGATAATTTGGCTACTTTACGGTATTTTCACTTTGGGAGTGATCATATCATTGACCCCAAGCTCTGTGAATTGATGGATCCTATTAGTCTCCACAAGTTCACAAAGCCATCTGGCTTGTAATAACAGAGGATAGGATGCACAATTGTAGTTATTGTGTACGCGGTGTCCCTTTGTTGGGTTAGAAAAATAAAACTTATTCTTTTATACTTTAAAATGTTACCCATTTTGGAACTGGAGGTTGGGGTGGAATCGGCTTTGGAGCAGCTCTTTGTGCCAACCATTCCTCTAGTTCCTTCTCCGCATTCTTATGTTTCCTTCTTATTTTCTTAGTAGACCTTCTATCCCTGTTTTTAAATTAAAAAACATGTATTAATACGGATTGTCAACGGTCGTGTTTCTTATTAAAATAATGATTGAATATTTAGCAAATAGTCCAAGATTTTTTATCCAACAGGGCTTAATTTCAAAGATCGTTTATAATCCCAAAGAACAGAAAAGATACCTTGTAGAGTTTGAGAAAGAGTTCCTTATCTTCAAAAGAAAGATTTTTGGAGATGTGAACGCTATACGTTTTATAAAGTGTGGTCCAGTACCGGCCTTAGACATTCGGCGTCCTCCCTCGCAATGACGTCATCTCCCCTCCCCCTAAAAATATTAAATTTATTTCTTAAATATTATGTAACATTTGAATTTTGCAGCATTCAACATTCCTTTAGTAGTTGTTTCATTGGTGGGATAAAATTAATTATTTTTATACGTTTTGTGACTTTTTTTATTTCTTACAAATGGCAAGCACCCCCAAAGATAGACCGGTGCCTCTAACGGCAATTGCCCCGGTTGCACCACCCTAAGGCCGGCTCTGGTGTGGTCGACTGTGATAATCACACCACATAGCAAGGATGATTGAGGAAGAAATTCTCAAGAAACTGTTTTGTAAGTTGAACCAGTACAGAAGAAGAGGAAGACCAAGGCTGATATGGAAGAAGTATTTATCAAGGATCCTCAGACACTTTCAGCCATTCGAAATTGGAGAGTGGATGTACAATACCGACCCATCTGGTTAAGGCTTATTGAGAAGGCCAAGGCCCACATCAGGACCTAGTGTTATTGAAAGGAAAAGCAAATTAACTTGAGATATCAATGTAAAGGATGAGTGAAACGCTAATAATTCTGTTGACAGTTCTTGAACCAAAAGATTTGAATATGTAGTGAGTTTATTATTAAATTTAGTACAAGTAGATTGGGAGTTAATTTCGGTATTTGTTGAATAAGTCCTGTTTTTTCAGTCCTGTTAATTTTGATCATAAAGGATTCCTGAAGTGACTCAAAAAACTTGAGTATTTGTTTTGGTGATGTTTCTGGTTGTGGGCCTCAAGATATTTTTGTGTCTTATATATTTTTTCCTAAGTCAACTATAAAAAATATTTGAAAAATCACTTTGCATACCTTGTTGCTTTAATGTAGGGTTTAGAGGCCTGAATAGAGAGTTTGGAGGATAAAATATATCTTAAATTTTATCTTATGATGAAGTCAATTTGAATAATGTGAGTATTATGTCAACTTTCTCCTAATTCTTACTGTACTCCCCTGTTTCAGCAATTAATACTATGAAATTTGTAAAACTTAATGTTCCGTAAAGTAGTATCAGTTGAAGGATGTTTTAGCGTTTCATCATCTTAGTATGGAATAAGAGATATAGTGATTTGGGTCCGATATGCCATTTTATAGATAGATATCTGACATGAATTCTCTAAATATTTTCTCAATTAATTCCCACATAGGAAATATGATGTAATTTCCCCTGAAAATCTATATAATGTTCATAATAATATATTTGATCACAATTGATATAAGAATATTTATGAAATAAAATAAAATAAACAAATGTCATACTTTGAAGCTGCAGCTGGCGCTCTAGGCTGTGCCAGTTCTAATAACCGAGGGCCTGGAATAAATGTTAAATTTCCAGGCTCTACATGGTGCTCTGAAGGCATTCTGAAAATCATTAATATTTTAAACCATCTGTAGATTAAGCATCCACACATTTTGGATTAAATAAACTTTTACATTAGTCGGCTGCACTCCATAAAATTAATTTAGAAATATATTAATATTTGAATTTTTTATATAAATATTTAATTAAATTTTATGTAGAAATATATGAATATTTAAATTATATAGAAATATACTGAGTTGGCAAATAAGTTGTTTTGGTTTTTATGTCACTATGACACACTTCTTATCTGATGAATTAATCTCTCAGGTGATCTCTCAGGTCAACAATTATATCTGTTAACTCTTGAAAATAGCTTAGTATTGTGTTTGCTATTGTACTGTGATATGGAAGAAATTATCATTCATTATCACCATATTTTGTAGTGTTATTTTAAGAAAAGTAAGCGTGCTGCAAAAGCTCATAGAAAAATTTGCATTGTTCATGAGGATGATGCCTTATCCAAATGCACCTGTCAAAATTGGTTAGCCAAATTTCATGCAGAAAATTTTGACATCAATGATGCTCAACTACTTGGTCGCCCACATGCAATTGAAACGAGCAATGTTAAGGCCATTGTTGATCGAAATCCCACCCAATCAGTGCGAAAGATGGCTATGGCCCTAAATGTGTCGGACACAATTGTAAAAAACCATTTGCACAAGCTCAGCTATATTTCCAGGCTTAATGTTTGGGTCCTTCACCCTCTAACCGAAGTTAACTTGGCAACACGCATCTCTGTTTGTGATTCACTCTGGAAATGGCAACAAAACGACAGATTTTCGAAAAGGTTGGTAACAATAGATGAAAAATGGATATTTTATGATAATGTAGTCCATAGAAAATGTCAAAACCTGGATTGCATCCAAAGAAGATAATGCTTTCCATATAGTGGGATTTCAAGGGTGTTATTTTCTATGAGCTATTGCCAACAGGACAAACAATTAATTCAGCTCTATACTGCTCACAATTATTAACGAAATTGGATCAATCAATTAAAAATAAATGTCCAGAACTGGTAAATTGGAAGAGTGTCGTGTTCCAACAAGACAATACTAGGTCCCATATCTCATTGGTCACTCGCAATAAATTATTAAGCCTTGGATGGGACCTTTTGCCCCACCCTTCCTATTCGTCAGTGACTACCATTTATTCTGATCTCTGCAGAACTCTATGAATAGAAAGAAATTCCAAAAGAAAGAGGACATCAAAGACCACTTGGATCAGTCTTTTAACAATAAATTCCAGACATTCTATGGACATGGTATTATGCAGTTAGTTGATAGATGGGAAAAAGTCAAATTAAATAATGGTCAATATATTGTAGATTAAAATAAATGTTATGTCTATAATACATTGAGTTTTATTTCATCCTGAAAAACTGAAAGCACTTATTTGCCAACCCAATATAAATATTTAAATTATATAGAAATTTATAAATATTTAAATTATATAGAAATATTTAAATATATAAATAATTAAATTATATATAAATTATACATAAATATATAAATTATATAAAAATACATACATATTTAAATTATATAGAAATATATAAATATTTAAAATATATAGAAATACTTAAATTTAAAGACTTAATAGCAATATAATTTAATTAAAACCATGAAGATGATTAAATTGTATGTCAGATAAATGTCACAAAATTGTTCATTAAAATTATATTTAGGGGGCTGAATGCCCCAGAATAAAATTTACTTTTCTTCTAAAATATTCAGAAGAGAAAACTACCAGGGTGTTTATATATTTTATTTTATATTCTTTATTTTGTTTTATTTATGTATTTTCTTAAGCAACTTGTAGTTTTTTCAGTATGGCGCCTAGTAAGCAAAATTTTATTCTTTATCATGTCTCATTTAGAGATATTTGAGGGATATTTAAAATTGTTAACAAAATTTCCTAAACAGAGAAGAAATTGAGAAGAGTTATGGAAAGTAGCTGAATTTGAATGGAACCATAAATTAATATTAAAACATTCCATTTAACAATAAGTAATCTTCGAGGGGAGGACGGGGTCAGACAAAAATAAAGTGAATATAGACTTCAGACATGAAAATATTCTAAAAAAAGAGAGCAATTGACCCTAAAGCATAACCTGCATTGAATTTAACATTACTATTATCGCCATTAATGAGTTTTGAGTAAAATTAGTTGTGATGGTATGAATGAATCTTATAAATGAAGCTTAGCAGAATAGCAAGTCATAACACAACAGCCCAAAAGAGCCTCCAAAAAAGTTAGAGAACATTCTAATATTAAATAAGTGGGGATATGAAGAGAGTGAATCCTGGTAATTGAGGATGATCTACTCATCATCTCCTCTGAGAGGACGGTGAAATGCAATAAAATGTAGGTTATCTTTGTTCTATTTGTAATGGAGAGTATACATTAAATAACAATGGGCTGAAGATACAACCCTAGAAATCTCCTCTGATAACATGATAACACAATGAACTTTATGATTTATTGACAGAGTTGGAGAGCCTCATCAGGAAGACTTTACTAGCCTGGATGAGGTTTATTCTATAGAAGCTAATAAATATTCTTGGTTTACTGATCTTTTCCTTTATTCTTTTAAAAGGCATAGTTTTGTTGTTAAATTCATCTGTATAGAAAATATAACCTCTATGAGCCATGTTTAGCTGAAAGGAAAATTAATAGATTTACAAAAAATGTATACATATCCTTAAAAAGTTTCATGAGGGATTTGGGGGACTTAACTGTGAGAAGTCTCTTGTTAAGATGCCATAAAACTAAACCAATAACAAAATGATCTTAAGAAGGATTACCTGCCATTATTGATGGAATGAAAATCTAATTCGTAGCACACAGATTATCATCAACAACCACTGACTTGGTAACTGATCTATTAAGTCAATAAAATTATGCTTAATTATAATATCTTTTTTAAATCTTTAAATGTTCGTTTGATTGTGATATATTGATTTCATTATATGCTTGTGTTTAAAAAGTTGTTTTAGCTATATTTATCTTGTGGATTTTAGTTACTCTTTTCTCAGTTAATAATTAATAGATTATTGAGCTTTGCTTGCAATATATAATACATTTTAATTATTAAAAATGATTAATGAAAAAAGATGTCTAGTTTATCAATAATTATTGATAAAGTAATAAAACTAATTTCATATATTTCTTAAATTATTAATGAATCTCATAAGACTATTGCAATAGGCAATAGTTCTTTAACAACTCAATGTATTTAAAGAGTACCAATAAACACCAATTAATAAAATTTTACTATTATCTAACTCTTAGATATAACCAAGTTTCTAATAAAAGATGTATCTTTAGACAGGATACATTTTCATTAGTTTGGTTTATCTGTCTATATTCTTGTATTTGTGAACTAAATATGTGTTAAAGGTTTAATATAATATAAGGTTTAATAATAAAGACTGAACAGCTGATGAGCAAGCTTGTGTTTCCAACTCAGCTCTCATTATTTACTGCTTTTTGAGAAGATTCTCTGTTATTATTCACTTAAAACAGGTCAAGAATACACCAGAAAGTTGATATTTATTGTGCACAGTTATCAACATATAGCTTTCTTTTTTGACACCATCAATCTTCTTCTCCGGCCAAACTAAACAAAAGCCTTGTAAGTCTCGTCAAACACCTCCAATGACACCTGCCAGCTCTGAAGAACATGAAAACCAGCCAGGTACATCACCACAAGAGAACATGGAAGAACCTCAGCCTCAACCAGATTCATTATCACAAGTGACAATTGAAGAATCCCCTTTTTTTACACACAACCCCTATCAGGTGCTTCAGAATGACAGTGAGGTAATGGAGTCCATACTGAAACAAAGAGATCCCCGACCTCTTCATTACCAATATTCGTTAAGAATATCAAGCATTTTCAATTACTGTGTTCTCAACTAAACAAAATAGCAGAAGTTACTCATGTCTAAGCAGAATGAATGACACCAAAATATCACCAGATACATCTGAGACCTATAGAAAAAATATAGAAAAAGTATCTAACAGAGACCAAAACAGATTTTCACACGTATCAATTGCGGTAGGAGCGAGCTTTAAGAGTAGTTGTAAGAAACGTACACCCCTCAACACCAACTGAAACAATAGAAGAAGAACTAAAAACTTTAGGTTTCAAAGTGCGCCAGATAACAAACGTTCTAAAGGGGTGTAAGGAACAGCCAGGAGTAAAAGTTCCTCTACCTCTATTTTTTATAGGCCTGGAATTGACTCCCGGGATTGAAAAAATCTACGAAGTTACAAGATTATACTACACAAGTGTAAAAGTGGAGAAGCCGTATCCTAGAAGGAATATCATCCAGTGCCATAATTGCCAGGTGTATGGCCACACGAAGACGTATTGTCATCATTTGCTGTGTTGTGTAAAATGCAGTGGACAACACAAAACTGGTAAGTGCACAAATCTAAACAAGATCCTGCAGTCTGTGCTTTGTGCCATGAAGGACGTCCGGCGAACTGCAAAGGCTGCCAGATATACTAGAATATTAAATCCAGATACTAGAAATCCCGATACCAAGAAGAAACTGAAAGATCCGGATCAAGAAAAGAACTTTCCAAAACCATAGACCCGAAGGTGTCTTTTGTACAGCTATTAGGAGGTAAAAACAATGTTACATATTGTGAGACCCTGCCGCAACAACAATATATACCTCAAAATTCTCAACCCCACCCTCAACATCCTACTCAAACATCACCTGATCCTAAAAAAAATTATCAACACCATATTCCTCATATTCCTCCTCCACCAAATACCACAGATCTCACCAGTTTACTTACATCTTTCCTCTCTGAATTCAGATCCCTTGTTACTCCTTTGATATCCCTTCTCACCAATCTTGTATCACATTTTATCCCTCCCCCAAAACATCCTTAAATGACTTCCAATAAACCTACATTCATTCTCCTTTGGAATGCGAATGGTTTTAGGAATCATACAGATGAACTATCATATGCATTATTACTTGACAAGAACATTGACGTGGCACTAATTACTGGAACTCGATTAACCACTAAACAACACTTCAAAATACCGCAATACCTAACGTATCGTACTGACCACCCTGACGGATGAGCACACACTGGGTACTGCTGTCATTGTACACCAATTCCTCTCCCATCACCTACTCCTACTAATGTCAAGTGCTGCCACAACAACCTCAACCCCAACCTCAAAATCCTCTTCATCCTAATATACCTAACCATCAACAACAAATTCCTCATATTCCTCCTCCTTCAAATGCAACAGATCTCACCAGTTTACTTACATCTTTTCTCTCCGAATTCAGATCCCTTGTTACTCCTTTGATATCTCTTCTCACCAATCTTGTACCACATTTTATCCCTCCCGCGAAAAATCTTAAATGACTTCCAATAAACCTTTATCCATTCTCCTTTGGAATGCGAATGGTGTTAGGAATCATACAAACGAACTAACTACATTATTACTTGACAAAAATAATACTGCACTCAATTCCCAACGTTTTCACCTCCTTTCCCCCAACTCTCCTACCTACTGGCCTACAGATCCCAACCGTAATCCTGATCTTCTTGATTTCTTTATCCACAGCGGCTTAAGTCCCCTCCATTGTTCCATTACTCATATAAATGAACTTTCTTCTGACCATAGTCCTCTAATTCTTAATGTTTTACTTGAAACCGTTCCCAAACCTTATCCACCGTCATTTATTAGGGGCCCAGTTAACTGGGACCTTTTCTGCCAAATCATCTGCGATAATATTGATCTCAATATATCCTTAAAAACTTCTGATGACCTAAATAGTGCCGTAAATTCCTTTATTACCACAATCCAACTAGCCGCCTGGACTGCCTCCTTCCCAAAAGACTCCTCCAGAATTCCTAAAAAGACCATTCTACCCCAACACCTCCTTGAACTAATCCACACCAAACGCCGTAACAGATTATTGTGGCAACGTACTGGACATCCTACAGACCAAAGCTATTATTACACCTTTAGACCACAATCCTTTAACTCCCACTTATAGTCCCTCTCTGTTCATGATAATTCTCTTTGGAAAATCAAAACGAAAATCTTAAACCCTCACCAAATTTCACATCCACTCCGACGAGATGACGGCTCCTAGGCAGCATCTGACAAAGATAAAGCCGAAGAGTTCTCCAAACACCTTTCTAATACATTTATTCCTCATCCGGAATCTCATTCTGCCCACACCATAACAGTAGAAGAATTCCTTACATCACCTATCCCACTTTCCTTGTCTTCTAAAGCAATTCATCCTTCTGAAGTGAAATTTCAATTACAAAAGCTAATTCTCCGTAAATCTCCTGGATATGATCTCCTTACCCCTCAGATCCTTCGACAACTTCCATCCAAAGCAGTCATATTCCTTACATATATCTACAATTGCATACTACGTATTTCCTACAGTACCACCCACTTTCCTCTATTATGGAAATACTCCAAACAGCTTGACATCCTATGGACCAATTAGCCTTCTCCCAATACTTTCAAAAATCTTTGAAAAGATTTTTTTGAAACGATTCCTACCACTCATAGAATCCCAAAATCTTCCTTCCCATCAGTTTGGTTTTCGCTCAAAACATTCCACTGATCAACAAGGACTTCGAGTAGTTGAACATACATTATCAGCAGCCCTAGAAAACAAGCAATACTGTTCGGGTGGATTTCTGAACATAACACAGACTTTTGACCGGATATGGCTCCCCGGGCTGCTCTACAAGCTTAAAATCCATCTCCCTCAGTCCTTATACCTAATCCTTCAATCCTATCTCTCTGACCGCTCATTTTGAGTACGCTGCGGAACGGAATTTTCCGATATTTATCCAATTAAAGCTGGTGTTCCCCAGGGGCAGCGTTTTGGGTCCCGTCCTTTACATCCTCTTTACTGCTGACATTCCTGTTCATTCTGATACCTTCCTTGCAACATTTGCTGATGACATCGCAATCCTATCATCCAACTCAGATCCTGAAATAGCATCCTTAAATCTACAAAGGCACCTCTCCCTTATTGAGCACTGGTGTGATGAATGGCTCATTAAAGTGAATGAGTCGAATTCCAAACATATTACCTTTACTCTTCGACACAATTCCTGTCCACCAGTACACTTTAATTCCATCCAGCTGCCTTACTCAGATGCAGTCCGGTATCTTGGCTTTCTTTTATACCTAAGAATGTCATGGAACCCACATACAAGACTTAAAAGACAAGAAATCAACCAATGATATGGCCAGCTATATAGACTACTGAACAGAAAATCTCACCTTTCAATTGACAACAAACTACTGATCTACAAGACAATACTGAAACCTATTTGGACCTATGGACTGGAACTGTGGGGGACAGCAAAATTTTCTAACATCAAACGCATTCAATCCTTTTAGTACAAAGTCCTTCGAAAAATAGTTGATGCTCCGTTCTATGACCCTACACCATGACCCTAATATCCTATTTGTCCTAGACCTTATCCCTCAAAAATTTTCCAAATTCCACCAAAAGCTTACATATCATCCAAATCCAATTACACAATCCCTCTCTAGCATAATCCTTCTCTAAGGTTGAAGCGGCAGTGGCCCAGAGACTTGTTGTAAAAATATATTGGAGTTCTGGCAATGGCCAGATTCTCCACTCAAGCTATGCATGTCTGGTTATAGTGTCTCTGCTCAGCCTCCATTGGTAATACCATTGCTGAGTGAATGATGCTGGGATCTCCTAGAGTCCTGCCTTTCCTTCCACGAGTGTGGGGAAAGGCTTGGCTCGGATATCTTGAGTGACTGAGTATTGTACATATTGTATAAAAAGAAGTTGTGGGCGGGGTGGCCGAATGGGCTAACGTGTATGCACTGCACCGGCGATGACAGACAACCTAATATATGACTCAATGATATAAAAATAGTCACGAGTTTGCGTCCCGGTCCCGGTGCGGAGGGATTCTTTTAAATCCCCGCTCACACCCTCTGGCCTGGAAAACTCCATATGGCCTTAACGGCGAGGAAGGGGAGAACCTTCCCCTCCCCCCCCCAAAAAAATGTATAAAAGCATGTGTGTATTTAAGTATTTACTTTGTTAGATTAGGTTATTTTTGTTTAGTTTAGTATCTTTTAGTTTATATATTTTTATTTATTGTGCATAGTATGAATGAGCTACTCTATATCACTATTACTATTGTCCTTGAATGTGACAGATTGTAATATATCTCAATAAAGACTATTTAATTAAAAAAAAATAATAAAGATTACTCACGATTACATAAGTTTTTATTTATTTACAAGGTAGTAGCTGAATACTGAAAGCATGATTTGATATGAAGCAATTACAAATTTATTCTTCCATTAAAATACAAAAAAAATATAAGGAATATAACAATCCTATGCAAGTAAACTTTCATTGAACGTAAGGTGAAATACTTATAATCAATTATGTTTTTTATTGGTATAGGATTATTTTTGAAATTATTTATAAATTTAAAAACTTACTGTGTCTTATACTTTGGTGTATATTTTCCTCTAGGCACTCGGCTAAGGATTTTTAATCGCTTACTGGTATTATAGTGTAGAGTTGCGGGAGAGATTTCAATTGGCAAGGATTGCTGTAAATATAATAATTCATAAAAAAAATCCAATAATAAGTTAAAATTAAATAAAATGAAAAAATTGCAATTCTTGTATCTAAAATTAACAAGAAAATGGTTAATTCTTCAAAATCTAACAGAAAAGAAAATCTCTAGAGGGTCTACTATTGTATTTTATCTTTCTTCTCCTCTTCTAGCCATTATTTTGCATAGAGAGGCTCCGATTCAGTGCTACTATGTTTCCTGGTTCCTAATCAGCTGCATCATTTTGCATCAAAGGTTTTACATCTATAATTTATTCCTGATAGGAGATCATAGGGTGGTTGCATCTTGTACCTGTAGGTCTAGATTCCATTTTCATCCTCGGTTTTCTCATTTTGCCCATTCAGCCAACCAATCCAAAGCATTTTAGTAGTATGGCTCTCATGATCCTTCTTCAATTGAGGAACCTCTAATCACCCTAATCCTTTCATTCCTTATGCTTGATTTATTTCATTCCTCAGTGATGATCATCCAGCTCTTATTCCCTTCTTCAACAATAGGGAGGTATTTAGCCTTATACAATGGTGTCAAAAAGTCTTCAAACAAACCAAATTTATGATAATGTTTTCAAAGTTAAAAGTGTTTTTATCTCCTTGATTGTAAACTTATTTAACCATGCAGACATTGTAGATGTAATATATATTTAAATTAGAATTAATTTCAATTAACATTGAGCCAAGGGACCTATATGTTGCTAATACTTTATCCTTTGATTTCACCTTATTGTTCATATTTCACTACTTTGTTATCCACTACAATCTTTACTCTTTATTTTTAATGTCAAAAGCTATTGCATAAGCTCTGTAAGACCTAGTGTATCTGTAAAAATTGTTTTAATATTAGAATTCTTCGTTTTTTTTCTGTAATTTAACATAACACTCCATATTGTAAAATTTCTTTTTTTTTCTTTTCTATTCAACGTTAATTTTATTTTGACTGACATAAAATTACAATTTTATATCAATGATGACTCGCAACCAAATTAGATAAATTCAAAAAGAAGTTGAAGGTTCTATTTTTGAAATTCATTATATCATAAAAAAGTTGTTAAAAATCAGGAAAAATAGATACTTAAAACGTTCAGGCAGATCTAAAAAACATATTCCTGTTGCTGAACAACATTTAAAATTATTGTGTTTGCACAGTTCCTAAAAATCTAGCAGAAAACTACAAGTCCTCGATCAGAAGAAAACTTCTATCATCTGGTCTTAACAATTGTGTTGTCAGAAAAAAACAACATATTTTCAATCTTCAAACAAGCGAAACGGACTTAATTTTGAAAAATAACAGGGAAATTTGGACTAAATAAATAAGAAATATTTGGTTTCGAAAAGAGGCAGTATGTTCGAGAAGATTTGGAGTGAAACTTTTGGATGAATTTTTAAAACCAAGAGTAAAACAGGAAGGTGGCTCCTAAATGATTTAGAGGTGTTTTTTATAGATCTATGGTTGGAAATCTCTTGCGGTGGGTGACAACGCCAAAAGGGGCTACGCTAAGAAAATACTTCCCCACCGTTAGTTCAAGAATGGAACAGACATGGATTCTCCCGGACTACTGGGTTTCACAGTTCCTCACAGGGCATGAGGGCTTCCGAGCAAAGCTCGTTGAATATGGCAAGAACATCGATCCCCTATGCCCAAGTTGCAGAGTGCCGGAGACCGCCGAGCATATCATCCTTTTCTGTACCGCCTTTGAGGCACTGAGGGCTAAATTGTTGAGGGAGACGGGGCTCTACGCTCTGAAAGAGAGCAATCTCCCTCAACTTATGACAAAGGAAAAATATCCGTATTACAAGGCATTCGTTTACGGGTGGAAGGAACTGGATGGGTCAACCCACTTTTCATTGGGAAGAAGAAATGAACCTGCATCCGGAAGACCGCCAGAGAGGGTGGAAGAGGATGCCGGCTAAAAAGAAAAAAAGAGCAGGCTGTGTGCACAGCTGAAAAATAAAATAAATGTAATTGGTCTGAATGCAGCAGTGAATTTTAACGCATGCGTTGCTACTCACTACTGCATAACACCCGTATTGCCTTTTCGGCAGGGTAGGGTTTAAATAAAATAAAGGTTGGAAATCTCTTATTAATAGACAAAAAACTGGATGTAAAACGGTAGCATCCTTACATTTCATTTGGCCTTTAGCAGATTGGGCAGAACTTTATTTTTCAGCAATATAATGATAAGAAATATGGTATTTTGAGTTTTTTTGAAATAAATGTAACATTAAGTAGAAAAACATTTTTTTATTTAAATTATGGAATGTTAAATAAAATTACTGAAAAAAAAAAAGAATTCCAATATTAGAACAATGTTCATATATACACTCAACTTAACAGATTTCATACAATGGTAACAATAAATAGAAAAGACATTGACAAATAATGAATATATAAGGTTCATAAATAGAGTTCACATAACAAGTATGAACAATAAGGTAGGGACAATTCAGAGGACAATATAGAGTCAAAACAACGGATTGATTTCATGACTCGTTATTAATTGAAATTAATGATAATTTAAATATATATTATATCTACAATGTCTGATTGACTAAATCAGTTTACAGTCAAGAAGATAAAAACACTTTTAAATTGAAAAAAATATCATTTTTACAAAAATCTGATTTGTTCAATGACTTTTTCACACCAGATCACCATAGAACATCTCCCTGATTCCAGTATCTTAGAGCATTCACTTGATGTTTGGTCAATCCCTCATTCATTTAGAGATTTTTTACTATAATCTGGTGAAGAAATAAGCTATCAATCTTGTAGTTCACTAACAGTGGCTGGGGTCATAATAATACCAACTTCTTCCTTGGTCTTTTGGGACTCCAAAATATATCATGAATTAATTATTTTTAAATCTATAATTTCCAACTTCCTTAATTTTTCAATTCATTAATACCCAGAATGTCCACTTTGTGTCTTTTTGTTTGCTCCTTGCGTTCCACCTAAGTTAGTGAGAACTGAGCAAAACATTAAATTAAATAAATTGTTTTAAATATACTTATATAATTAAATAGCATAGTAGTAATGAAGCAGTATTATTACATAAGCATTTGGATCAGGCCAAGGAGCTAGTCTTCTAGGACTTGGTTTGGACAACATTTCTGTGTGCATACTCCTTGTAACAACAGACCATGCTTGATTGAAAGCTGGAGATCCATCATAAGAGCGGGCCTTGATAATTGGCATTTTCTAAACCTAATAAATAATATGAATGGTTTATTTTCTAGATCAAAATATTATTTATCTAATAAATTAATATTTTTTTTTTCCTTTTTTAAGCGTTGACAGATTGATAAGTAATTATTTTATGTATGCTAATTGAAATGTCTTTATTTTTTCATATGAACTGAAATTTTAATTATCACATAAAATTTAAAATAAATCTAGATATATTTCATTTTACTGATCCCATATTGATATTCTATTAAATAATTAGGTGATATTCCTTAGGATTTTAATTTAGATCCATCTTTTTATCTCTTATTAAAAAGCTGTGGATGGATGTTGAGTGCATAAATAAGAGGTAGTCATTTAGTTTACTCCAGCTTTATAGTATTTCAAATTTTAGTAACTTTGGAAATTAAGCATTTAGGATTTATGAAAATATAGTTTATAAAAAGTGTGGCACCTGTAAGTGCAACTTTTATGGGTATCAACAAAAATATTAGTATTAAAAAAGCATAATTGTGAACCTTAGTCAAAATTTTAAAAATGACTTCCTCATAGAGCAATGCACTGTTTCAATCTGTGCAAATTCATGATTGAATTCACCACCATGGTTAGATTACATACATGAAAAATCACGTTTACCAGAATTATTTTCACAAAATCAGTTCTTATAAAAACACACATCTAGAACTCTGAAAATGTATAAAAAATCATTATCAGAGATAAAAAGAATCATTTGCAATGGAGAAGTTGAAAGAAAAACATGAAGTTCTTTTTTTGTCTCCTAGAAAGTAATAAAGTTATATTCATGTAATGACAAAAATAGAGGGTAACTGGATAATGATAAAGCAGATGAATTAGAGATACAATAACATCAATTTTAATTCAGTGATATCCCTTACAATTAACTAAGAAGAAGATTCCGAAACTACTGAAAAGAGAAATCTGCAAAAATCAAATAATATTACATCACACTACAATGATGAAATCTTTAGAATATCCTAAATAAATCTCAGGGTAAAAAATTATTACAAAAACGAGGATTTAGAAAGGAGAAATCAATGATAGATCAAATCTTCAATAACCAACCCATAATCCAGGAGGTTTAAATTCCAGACATGTTGATAGACCAAATATACCTATTAATATATAAAAATACCTAAAAAAAAAACTCTATAGGATACAAAAAGGTTTTATCTTCAAGTAATGACTTTATAGTTTCTTTAAGCTCAATGCCCTTAAAATTCATCATCGCTAAAATTCCATTATTAGTCATGACTGAAATTCATCAGAAAACTATGATAATGAAGGAAGTGTATTTATTGCAAAAACTGTGTGGAGCTAAGCTTTTGACCAGAATTAGAGTAAAACAAGAATTAGGCATACATATTAACATATAAAGACATTCTTCCTATTTAATCTCAATTGAATAACTTATAACAAGCTTAGTGATTTAAGAATTGGCACAATATACAATACAAGGCTGGATGATACACAACTGTCAGGACGTGCCATATAATATGGTATGCACATTAATGAAACAAGACAATTTACATAGCCTAATTCCAGTTTTATTTCCGTAACTGATCTGTCCCTCATATAAATAAGGCTCTTACAATAAACTGATCATGTATTAAAAATTCGTAGGAAAATATGTTCATATTTTTAGACAAATATGAAAGGATGAGATAGACCAGGCTACCAAGAGAAATCAAAATGTGAAGGAGTGCATTATAAGCATTCTGTAAATAATAATAAAAAAAAAAGATAGTATAAACCTGCCGGTGTGATTGCATTTTATTTAACAAATAAAAATCACTAGCATTTTAGGTTTGTCTTTGTTTCTATCAACGTTCTGATAAAACACATAACCTTATGTCAATATTATTAATGTTTATTGTATATACTGGTTACAACTAAAATGTATTCATTAAAACTTACCTTTTTTTAAAAAAACTTTTACTAACTTTTTCCAATAAGATACTTGAAAATTTTCTTTAATTATTAGGGAAAAATTATTCTTCAATTTAGTAAAATCAAAACATTTTTTTATTTATATGTTCATTTAAGTAAACATTTTTATTTAAATAATTTATTTTTGGAACATTGCAATAATTTATTTAAAACATGTGTTGGGTAAAATTATTGATAGAGTATAAGTGGTTCTATCATTAAGCACCACATTGAAACCGATATTGAACTTTTTTTTTAATAAACAAAAATAAAATGACATAAATGCCAAAATATCATGCATCAGTAAGAGAAAGGTTTCTAGACTAATTCAGCTTAAACGTTGTAATAGGTAAGGTAATAGATACAATGAAAAATTTTGGAAATAATCTATTCTTAATGTTTCATAATTTTTTGGATTCCGATATCTCTTTGAGAAGAATTAGTTTGATTATGCTTTTTTCTAGTTGTTTACTTCTTGATATTATTTTGGAATAATAAAAGACAGAAACTAAATAAATGGGTATTATGACTAATAATTTCTGCTGGAACATCTTTATTTTTTGAAAAGAGGAGAGAGAGGAATCACTAGCAGATCCAGGTTTTAATTTTTGGGGGGAGGGCTTCAGCCTGAAAGATCTATTTTTCATATACATATAACGATAATTAATTTGAGAAAAAAGAAAGAAATTAACTACCTATCTGAAATGGTGTTTAAGTGGTTCTTGAAGTCCTATTAAATGTAATTAAATGAACAAGAATACTTTAAGAGATAGTTTTTAATATTTTTTTCTGTAAAACATGATTATATTTTACCATTTTGGGGGAGCTTCAGCACGAAAGCCTCCCCGTAGATCCGCATGTGAGAGGAAGGTAGGTAGATCTTAGAGAAAGTCATAGGTCTTAGAAGGCTGTGAGGGTTGTTAGAGTAGAGGGAAATCCTGTATTCCTGCTGGTATGCTGGGTTGACTAGGCGATGACCTTAATTAAGGTTGGTGTCAAAAATTTCGGGCAGTTCTGAGTATCTTCAGTGTCTGGTATCATCTATAGTTTGCTGAATTGGCCTCTTTGCAGTTAACACTTGTAATTATCGAATCCATCCAAATACAAGAATTACTCTTTTAGTTTTGGCCAAATCTCACACAAGTCGATGGGTGAAGTAGTTAATTGTGTGGCCATACTGCTGTCATCGGAAACACTGAGAACTTTATTTTAAATATTTTTTCATATAATATGTTTTTGCTAATATCAAAGAAAAAGATCCTTAATGGTTGTTTAAATCTTCATATGATTCAGTGACAGTATCTGCTTCATGATCTTTATTTTTCGTCTATAATTGCTGATTTGAGAGTTGAATGATGCAAATTCCTAATTAAAGTTGGAATTACAATGGCTTGGTTCTTAATAGGAATTGTCTGATAAAATTTCACACTAGTTATAGTTAGGACTTATTGATAATCGACTGTTTAGCTTTATTTGATTCTACACCCTCTACATCTATAGAGGGCATAACTAGTTCTCAGGTCCCCTCTTGATCCTGAAAATTACTAGTTGTAGCAATTTCCAACACATCCAAGACTTAGATATCCACTGAAGTCGTTGGGCGTTCATTCATGTTTAATGTCCTATAACGAATTTTACAATTTTTCATTCAGTAGTTTACAAAGTTTTAATAAAATCACTTTTTACCAATGAAATATTCCTTTTAACTTACAAACTGTAAAATAACTAACCTCTCACTAAAATTACACATTTGATTACTATATCAGCTGTTTCAAATTTAAAAGTTAAAAAAATAAAAGCTTGTAGGTTTCCTTCGAAGGCTTACAGTTCCGACTGGCCTCCCTCTTGTCGGGACTGGAGGCAATTAAGCCTGAACCTAGGAAAACCGAAAATCATAGTTCCGGTTCTCTTCACAGCTCTGCTCAAATTCTGCTGCAAAATTGTATTTTTTAAACTGCTTGGTAAATTGAAAAACAAAACTAAATGAAAGCTACTTTGCTTAATTTCATAGTCAAGACTTCACAAAAATGTAGTTTAATTTACATGCCTAACATTTTTATGAATCACTTCAGCATATCATGTTCATTTTATTCTTTCCATTTTTTTTTCATCTTTTCAAGATTTGGTTTAACATCAAGGGCAAGAAACTGCATCCCTCTCCCCCTCCCCACCCCCTGAAATCTGTAATAACTTAAAGCGTTTGTTACTTCTGTCTCGTATTTAGAATTGTTTTACAATGCTGTCATCAATCATCATTTAATTATTTTGGTTTCTGTGGGAACCAAAATAATTAAAGACATTTTCTGGAAAGATAACATCCTTAGGAATTTAGATTCTACGAATAAAGTTTGTACATCTAGCTCTGCTACCTTTATTTATTTGAGTCAACTTGAGATTAATCAGTGGGAGTATTAGGCGGACGAAAGGGGAAAAAAACTACATTGTCATGAATGGTAGAAACTGGCAAAAAGTACACTGAGAAAAAAGTACAAATTACAGACTATTTTACTCAAATACTCACGTAGTCCAAGTACCGAGTACGATAAAGATAAAAACTTTAGTGATAAAATAAATAAAAGTATAATTATATATATAATATTATATTCATAAAAAAATCAACTAAAATCTAGAATAGTGAAATTTAGAAAAAAAAACAAACAATTAAAACATAATGTTGACTAATGAAAAAAAAAAAAAATAGTGATTCAACAAATATATATATAAATAAATTCGAATAATTTTTTTTATATGATATTTACAACTGTATAAAAAAAAAAAATACATCTAGTAAATTTGCACATGGATATAATGACATGAAACACATGTTGAGAAACTATCCATTGGTAGCACTCTAATGATAATATATCCAATAATATGTCTATATTAGGAGATCATGTGGCCATCTTCTATTCAGTCGCCTCGGAGGGTTATCAGGAATTGAATAGGAAGCAAGGTTAGAAACAATAGAGCTGGGATGGTTATGAAGTTTATTATGGAAGGATAGATATCTGGATTGGGCCAAATCTGATACATAAGGAACACTAAGGTCATTGTGGATGATTTTATTTGTAACAAAGTAAGGAGCATTGAGGATTTTGGATTGTAAGGATTGGATACGAGAGGAATTTGAAGATTTGGTGGAGCCCCATAGCTCAACTCCGTAAGTCCAAATAGGCCTTATTATAGTCATGCAAATGAGTATTTTGTAATTAATTGGAAGCTTAGAGTGTTTGTCTAGTAAGTGTTGAAGTAGTCGGAAACGTCGAGCTGTTTCTTGTCGTTTCAGTCTGGTATGAGAATTCCAAGTTAGACGTTTGTTCAGGTGGAGTCCTACGTAACGGATTTGTTCAACAGGAATAAGTGAGGTGTTGTTAAAGGATAGTGAAGACAGGAAGTCATTGGTTTACGACGAAGGGTGAAGGTAATTTGATGGGATTTATTGGAATTTGTTTTAATTCTGCAGCTTTGACACCATTCTTAAAGGTTTATGATGTGGGATTGAAGGGTTTGGGATGCAATAGGTGGGTCTTTATTAACTGATAGGATACATGTGTCATCGGCATATGTGGTGATGACAGTGTTGGGATGGGTTGGGATGTCAGCTAAATTCGAATATAAATAATTAACTAGATAAATGCTTTGGAAAATGTGTGGCCAATTCGAAACGTTCAGAAAATGAATTGTTGTTTGGGTCCTTCTTTGATAGAAAATGTAATGTTTTTCAATTAAGAAGTTTAATAAAAAAAAATGAGAAGTTATATGAAGGCCTTTTACTAATTATTTTTATAGCGATTTAAATTGATAACAGCCAATTAGCTGATGGGTAAATTGAAATAATTTGAAATATGTTCCATGATATAACAATAAATAGAGTGCGTCTAGTAAATAAAAATTTAAATATTACTAATACAGAATATTGCAATTAAAAAGTCGGAAAGGACAATGCCAGAGCCCAGGTACAGCCGGGCTAGATTAGCATGTTTCTTTTTTTTTTTTTTGGTCCTCCCCTACCTCGCCTTCAAGGCTATACGGGGTTTGCCCTGGCCAGGGAGTGTGGGCGGGAATTTAAAAGACGCCCTCGGCACAAGATAAATATCTTGTCGACAACCCTCTTAATGGTAATAAGGGAGTAATAAAGATAATAACTTTGCCTTTTTCAAAGATCTAAAGAACTGACTGGACTCCTCTTCAAATCCTACAGAAGAAGAGAATGTAGTATCATCCTGGAACAAATATTCAGCCAATAGAAAAAACAAGAAAGAAAATAGGGAAAAATTAGATAAAAATATTTTGGGATGGAACTGGATAGTCTGGGATAGAGCTTTTTTGTAGAATAAACAGTAGTCGGTTGAAGAAGTCAGTCGATTATGGAAGTCTTGAGTGAAGCATGTTCGTGAGAGAAGAGCTGAATCGCTGGAAACATAGGAGACAGTTGACAAGGTACTGCGAGGGGACATCAATGGAGCGAGGAATGAAGTAGCTGACGGTCCCATCATCTCTCCATAAACAGCTGATAATACACAAACAAAGCGATAATATTCATTCAAAACCATGTAATTCTGAATTGGGGATCTAAAGTAATAGAGTGAATTGATATGTCCACATCAGCATTGAGTTCTGTATACGAACTTGGTTTTCAACATTTTCCCTGCATGCCACCGTTTAGGTACAAACAGTAAATTGGTCACACTATTGGCCTCCAAACGTTTTTGTTCGATATTTATTTATCTACTCCTAGAATTAATTAATATTTAATTACTTAGTTTACGGAAGTTTGATAATTAATATAATAAGTTATATGTATATGTGTGTTTGTATTTAGTGATTAATAAAAATAGCAAGAGTAAAATATAATTGATTGTTGCGACCTCCATTAGTTGCGACCTGCCCTACCGTACTGCAGCTTCTAATGATAAAAAGTTTTTCCCACTGTGCGCTATACTCTTGGAAATGATATCTGATTGTAACTGTAATTCAATCTGTATCACAGCAAGCGGGTCTGTTTCACATAGCATTTCTTTCAGATTAATGATATAATTAGTATATTTTTAAATTGATCGGTTCCATTGTGAAACTGTTATAAATAGAAACACTAAATACAGTAAATACTCATCTGGAACAGGCTATCCGCCTTAAAAAATTTGAAAATCAGAAACTTAGCACAAGGGACCTTCAAATATGAAAAAAACAAAA